ATATATATAGATACTCTGTAGTCGGTGTATCATCACATATATTTGGCTACATCATTACCCCTTACCATGCTTGTTGATTCTCACTTGTAAAATTATTATCACATTTTTCATTCTATAGATTTAATTACAATAACAAAAACAAAAAGGATTTTATTAGGGCCCATTGCCCTGTATGGATTCGCCATACATAAAACAAAATAATACAGTAATGTTTTTTTCTCTTTCCCCATGTGCATGTGAGCCTTTGGGATTTAATTAATGATTTTTAATTTAAAAGGCATATATTGGAACAAAATATCATTTATTTTACCAATATTTCAGTTGGCTGAACACCAACCTTTATCAAGGCGTTATAACATATTGATGACATATTATTAACACAAGGTAATAAGACCAAATCCAAATAAATAAATAGTGTGTGACGTTTCGGTAACAGCGTTATTACCATCTTCAGACAAAAGTACTTAAAAACTGCTGCTACCTAAACGTCACACACTATGAATTTATTCGGATTTGGTCTTATTGCCATGTGTTTATAATCTACTAGCCGAATGACCCGGGCAACGCCCGGGTTTTACCCGATTAAATGTTTTTATTCAAATACTATTCGTTACAATTATAAATTGGCGCCGTGGATGTCACTCTTGTGAAACGTCCCGCTCCAAACTTTGTGTCTGAGAAGCGATATTTTTATAGAAAGATGATCTGGCTTTTGTTTTCTGCTCGAATGAATGTTTTTTCTGTTAGAATTTTGTTCCTGCGTACAAAATAATGAACTGGTTTAACCCGTGGTCTCTGCTTTTTGGAATTTTTCCCGATATAATTTTGTATCTGATAATCAAACATGATACAGCAATATCGTCATCATCATTTTCTGACTAAAAACATATAGTTTTAATAATTGATTTATATATTTTTTAAAATAGTCTATCGTCTTCCCCGTGTTTTTTTACCTATGTATGGAAATTTTGGTTTGAATTAGTGAACTACTGCGAATTTGTATACCGGACATACAGACAGACAAACAGACAAACAAACATACAAACATTCATTTTTATATATATAGAGAAGAGATATTTCAAATTGTGCTTTTAATTTTCCAGATGATACAAATATTCGGTTTAAAAAAAAAAATGTTCCCACCCGGGATCGAACCGGGGACCTTGTGCGTGTGAAGCACACGTGATAACCGCTACATCACGGAAACTTGGTATTAACTGCTCCACTCTATTATATACTAGCCGAATGACCCGGGCAATGCCCGTGTTTAACCCGATTGAATGTTTTGATTCAAATACTATTTGTTACAATTATAGATTGGCGCCTCAAATAAATGCATATGTTAGTTAATAACTATAGCCTATGTGCTTTATCTGTCCATGTACTGTTGGCTTCCGTAGGCGTCTCTTACTGGGAAAAAGAAAGAGAGGATTCCATTTAGGTATTAACTAATATATGCATTTATTTAGGAGCGACTCGCTCCAACACAATAGTTACAAAAACGGAAAAGCGAGTGGGGGGGGGGGCATAATGGGGGGGGAGGGGGGCAAAGGTGGCGTGATCGTAGCCAACCAATAGGAGGGCGCCATTCCAAAAAAAAAAAGCAAACGGTGACAGAGGTGAAAACTGATTAAGAGATGAAGAATGACGCTCGTAACTGTATATAGAATATTTAATAGTCCTGATTTTTTTTGAGTGTGGTAAATTTATCGATATATATGTTGGGTTTGAAAGACTATTTTCTCATATATATTTTGTAATAAATAACAAACTATATATATACTACGAGGGACATCCAATAAATAAGTTTCCTATTTTTTTTCTGCGAACGAAACGTTGTAAAAATTAGTTAGTAGTGTAAGAAAGGGTCACTAGGATGCGTTGGAAGCGCGTGACCTTCAAAATCACACTACTCGTACGCACAAGTCCGTAGCGCTTCAGTTTCCATGGAGTTACCATTGGTGAACGTGTCCACTTGCGAACTCCGTTCTGTAATTCGTTTTTTCACGGCGAAAAATGAAACTGCGGTCAATATTCATCGCAATTTAGTGTCAGTGTATGGTGAAGGATGTATGAGCATCTAAATGGTTCTTGGAAGGACGGCAAAACGTGCATGATGACGAGCGAAGCGGCAGGCCCGTTGCTGCTGTTCGGAATGTGGTGGAAGCAGATCGCCGCGTCACCATTGACGAAATAATAATTCGACTGCCTCCTGGAATCGAAATTGGACGTTCTTCTATTGGAACAATCATGTCAGATGTTTTGAATTTCCGCAAAGTCTGCGCAAGATGGGTCCCGCGTTTGCTCTCGGAAAATCGCAAGCAACAACGGACGGAGGCAGCCCGAGCTTTCCTGGAAATGCATCAAAGAGATGGAGATCAACTGTTTTCACGTATTGTCACTGGAGATGAAAGCTGGGTGCATCATTCAACTCCAGAAACAAAACGACAAAGCATGGTGTGGAAGAAGCCTGAGGAAAGTGCACCAAAAAAGACGAAGGTCACAATCTCTGCAGGCAAAGTTATGGCTATCGTCTTTTGGGACGTTAAAGGTGTTTTATTGGTTGAACACTACGGTTAACGCTGCGAGGTACTGCGAAGTCCTCACTAAACTCAAGGCTGCAATAAAACGGAAACGTCCTGGACTTTTGTCTCGGAAAGTGTTACTCGTCCATGACAATGCTCGCCCTCACGCAGCTTGAACGACCCAAACGTTGCTGGAAAACTTCAAATGGGAAATTTTCACACATCCAACTTATTCTCCGGATCTTGCCCCAAGCGACTTCCATCTTTTTCCAGCACTCAAGTTGCACCTTGGAGGCAAGCACTTTGCGAATGATGACGAAGTGCAGGCGGAGGCGAACCACTGGCTACGAAGACAGGACACGGCTTGATACAACAGTGGTATCAAAAAATTGCTACAACGGTACCAAAAATGCTTGGACAGAAATGGTGATTATGTAGAGAAGTAGTCTATGAGTTGTATAATGAAAATAAAATAACTGCATAATTGTAAATAATGTTGTTTATTTGTTAAAAAATAGGAAAACTTATTTATTGGATGGCCCTCGTATATTGTTACTTATTACAAAATGAGAAAATAGTTTTTCAAATCCAACATATTTATCGATAAATTTACTATAATCAGAAAAAAATCTAAAAAACTCTTAAATATATATAAAAGCGTATATCAGCAACTCTCAGTTGCACGATAAGTAAATGCCTTTTTCATAATTAATGATTTATTTTTTTACTTAAACTTTTGGAATATTTGTATAACTACCGTGACAAAATTTAAATACATTAGCAGCAGAACTTGGCGAACTGATCTTGACCCTAAATATCACATATTACAACCTCTATTATGATCAACCCTGGAATATGACCAACAAGGTTTTCCATCGCATCTATCACAAGCCTCAAACATATAGAAAATATTCAGACAACCAACCATGACAGGCAATAAACACTCCTGTAACAATTACATGGTATCGTTAAGATAGAGGCTGTGCCTGGCCGGCATTCATAGTTCTTAAAACTAAAGATACTTCACTCAGTAAATCTTTTTATTATCTCAACGTTTCGACAAAAATCTTTTGTCTTCGTCAGGAGCGAAAAAAATTAGATGTTGTACAAAATTTGAAATATTGCGTGAGAACGCCCTTGCAGCCTTAGAATAATTTTAACGCTTTGCCAAATGTTGTAATTTTTGTTCCCTCCTGACGAGGACAAAAGACTTTTGTCGAAACATCGAGATAATAAAAAGATTTACTGGCCGAAGTATCTTTGAAGAATTACACACATGCTAGATTTTATAAACCATTGTATTAAACCATTATATTTAATGAATCGCCATTTAGCGCCAACAGTTATGAAAGTCTAGAAAATGTTTTCCGAAAATATTCTAAATTTGCCTTTAAAGAATCCATATATTTTTTCCCATTATAGAATGAAGATATCAAGTTGTCACAGCCTTAAATTACAAAGAATAAATAAACCTAATACAGTAGAAGATAGAAGACACTTAATTACAGAACCAAAGTGTTCTTTCAGGAGAACTCTGAATAATTAAAAAAATGGTTCAATAAAAACTTTCTCTCCACAAAGGTTCTACTGTGTATATATAATCCATATATATTTTCCATTACAGAATGAAGATCTCAAGTTGTCACAGCCTTATAATACAAAGAATAAATAAGCCTAATACAGTAGAAAATAGAAGACACCTAGTTTCAGAACCAAAATGTTCTTTAGGGAGAGCTCTCTGAATAATAAAAAAGGTTCAATAACAACTATCGTTTTACAAAGGTTCTACTGTGTATATATAATCCATATATTTTTTCCATTACAGAATGAAGATATCAAATGTTACATCCTTAAAATACAAATAATTAATAAGCCTAATACAGCAGAAGAGAAAATACACCTAGTTGCAGAACCAAAGGAGACCTCTCTGAATAATAAAAATGGTTCAATAAAAACTGTCGTTTTACAAAGAGGATCTACTGTGTATTAAAATAATATATTAATATTTATAAATTGGATTTTATTGATCTAATACTAACACCTGCCCCCACCAAAGTTAGCGTAATGTGTGTGTTCCTAACACGTGTTTATTTACTACCAGTTGCAAATAAGATACACTATATCCAAACTGGATAATTGCGCGTGAAACTATTTACAATAATTCATATTGTAGTAGAGTAGGTAACAGAATTGTCAAAAAGAAAATATACAATTAAGAAAAAGAGCATTGAATAAACATATACATTAAACATATATTATAAAATAAATAAAGCTTCCAGGGTTGAGTTTCTTGTTCAAATTTTTATTTTCAAGTTTTCGGACTTGTCAGTTCTGACTCCTATAAATCAGGGAAGAACGTTTATACATTAAACAAATAACAACAACATAAGCAGATAGAAGAAATCGCAAGGTAGTTATTTACAATACGTGTTTCTCGCTTAAATCGGGAGTAGGATATTCGGTATAAAAGAAGAGAGTTCCTGCCTGGGATTGAACCGGGGACCTAGTGCGTGTGAAGCACACGTGATAACCGCTACACCACGGAAACTTTCAAAAATATGTGTGTGCCCTCTACTATTTATAATTATTTGCTGATTTAACCCTTGTTGTCTTGTGTCGACATGGAATCTGAGCCCCCCTATATTAATAGTTTAAAAAAAATCGAAAAGCTAGTGTACAATTTGATTTATAGGTATGAAATGCAAGTTAAAAAGTCAACACACACAAATAAATGTGGTAGAAGTGCGGTTACTGTTGTTAGATATAATTTATTGGATCATGACACCCCCCTGTGTTGATTCTTCTGGTTAAATTATTAGTATACATGTGTCGTGTTTTTGATATGGTTGTTACAACTTATCTTGGTATAAATTATATTATGATAAAAAATGCGAAAGAGGAAGTTTCTCGTTATATTGTTAACTATTACAAAGAGGGAAATTCTTTTAAAACCAACATGTTTAAGTATAGTTTGACACGAGAATCACAAAATTATTAAAATCAGTAAAATATTAATTAAACCTTAAAGGAAGTATTTTTCAAGTTTCCGTGGTGTAGCGGTTATCACGTGTGCTTCACACGCACAAGGTCCCCGGTTCGATCCCGGGCGGGAACATTTTTTTTTTAATTATCAAATATACTCCTGATTTAAGCCCTAAAAACGGGGATTCATACATGTATAGGCTTTCATCATGAATATGAATTGATTTCAGGGTTATTTTCGAATAATTCGACCTAAAACCTGCGACGAGCATGAAACCTTTCTATGAAAATCTCTCCTTGTATTATGAAGCATTCAATCTTTAACATGCATTTAAAGATATTTTAGACTTAATAAATCTCACATGGGCAGCTACATTTATTGAGGTAAACCCTCTGAACGCCAAAATAATTAATTAACGAGCATGGAATTAGGGACACTCTCTAAAAAGTGAAATATTGATAAAATAATGGAGAAATTCTTTTTTAAGTTTCCGTGGTGTAGCGGTTATCACGTGTGCTTCACACGCACAAGGTCCCCGGTTCGATCCCGGGCGGGAACACTTTTTTTTTAATCCAATGTAAGGAGGGAAACATTATTTTTAAAGAGATAATACTTGGAAGGAATAGGTCAGCCAGACAATGTCAGACAATAGGGTGCTATGCAACATATCTCGTAAATTTTTTAAAAATAATAATAAATTTGAGCTTAAAGAAAACTTTAAATTTGATATTTTTTTTAGTTATATAATTCAAAATTTTATCAATAACTAGCGGACGTACCCGGCTTCGCCCGGGTTTTACCCGAGTAAAAGTTTGTCTAACGAATCTCTCGATAAAGTGAACATTTTTTTCCCGGTCCCTTGAAAAATACTCGATAAGTTGAATAAAGTGAATATTAATTGGTTCCCTCGGTAATTGGAAGTTAAAGGAATAGTATCTTGCCTTGGAATTGTATCATTATTCTTGTATGGATGTACCCGGCTTTGCCCGGGTTTTACCCGAGTAAAGGTTTGTTTAACGAATCTCTCGATAAAGTGAACATTTTTTCCCGGTCCCTTGAAAAATACTCTATAAGTTGAATAAAATCAATATTAATTGGTTCCCTCGGTAATTGGAAGTTAAAGGAATAGTATCTTGCCTTTGAATTGTATCATTATTCTTGTCTCAAATAAATTGCCGTGTCATCCTGAATTTTGTCTTTCCTAATTTTCTACATTACAAAATCATCGTATCATCATGATAATATTTAGAGCAGATTGTTGAATTATAACAGATAAATTAGAATATTTATCTTGATTATTTCTAGGCGAAAAGTTATTTCAAAAATTTTATTTGCTAGAAACCTTCCCAGTACTATACTAAATAACTTCCCAAAGTTTCATGGCGATCCAATGAGTGGTTTGGTCAGGCATAAAGGACAAACAAACAAACACACAGACACACACACATACATTCATTTTTATATATATAGATAAAATAAAATATATACCCATTTCCTTTGGCATGTTTTAGAAAAGGTGTTAATTAGGACACTATATGGATCTGGTTTCATTTTTTTTAAATCATTGTTAAGATGAATAAAAAAAAAACAAATGCAGTGGTTATTGTGTCTCTCTTCCAAAAAAAAAAGCTCGTTTTGGACTCCCAAACGAGTAAATAAGACGAAGTGTATTGACAACAACAACAACAACAAAAACCTTTATTAAGACACTATTGTCTTACAAGGGGATTCCCCTAAAGGTTATATATGTACATGAGTGAGGAGGAAAAGCAATCTAGAGGGGAGGGGGGGGAGCAATCAGCCGTTGTCTGTGGAGTTGAGCACCTCTTCTCTCATTTTATCAATCGCCTTGAAAAATTTAAAATATTTATAAACAAATGTTTTATCCAGAAGGAGAGCATTAAAGATTTTATATACATGTTGTTCATTGTAGTGAGCTAGCTCCGAAATTTCGCGAATTTCCAGTCTCTTTTCGTGTAGGAATGGGCAATGGAATAGATAGTGGACCAAATTGTCTTGGATGCCAACATTGCAGAAGTAGCAATTTAAAGGGTCGCTGTTCCAAAATCCCGTGATATCCTTGCGGAAAAGTAGCCATAGAATCCTTTGACGGGCTATAAATCGTTTAATTTTCAAAGGGAGGTTTGATAGTAAGTAGTCCTCCTTCATAAAGGAGCTACTTAGAGATTGGTAGTGAATAAAATGAGTTGAGCCTTGTATCTTAGCTCGGTCAAATTGGAGTAGCTGGTCCACTGTGGTTTGAATAATTCTAGGCATTTCTCCTCGCACAACCATATAATCTTCACAGTTCTTAAGAAAAGAAAAACCCCTAGAGTCAATGATGCTATTCAAGTTATGAATAAAGTTGTTTCCCGCTTTTCCCACAATTGAAACTTTCCAGAGCTGGGACAAGCAAACATAGGGTAATCTTGTCCTGTCCATTTTTAAAATCCGTATCCAGAACTTTAGAATCAATTTCGTAATGTTTAATTCAAGGGACATCCTTCCGGTTTCTGTTCGTAAGATGTAGCCCGGAGTATATTTGGGTAGGTCAAGAAATCGCCGTAGGAAAATATCCTGGATCTGGTTTACAACTACTATCTGATTTGTCGCCCACATGGGGGCCGAGTATAACAACGTGGATAAAACTATGGAGTCAAGTAATTTCATCACTGCTCCGAACGATTTGGTTCTTGACTTAGATAGTATTCTCCCCACTGCGTTTGTAGCAACCAATGCTTTGCTTTTAAAGTGCTGCGCCACGTAAGCAGTTGTATTCTTGGTAGTTAAGGGGTAGCCAAGATATGTATATTTTGAAGATACTGTCAAGGGTTGTTGGCCCCAAAACCAAACGTCAGATCTGGCCAAGCGGCCTCCATTTCGAAACACTACGATTTTAGACTTGGATTGGTTCAGAGTTAAACCATTTTCCTCAAAATATCTTTTTATTAGATTAATCTTTATTTAAAGATTTATCTTGGATTCACCAAAGAGGACTATATCATCCGCGAACAGGAGGAGGTGTATAGTTCCATGACCCGGTAAGTATATACCTGGCAGGTCAGAATCATCCAGTGTAGCCACCAGATCGTTAATGAAAATAATAAATAAATACGGTGAAAGAGGTTCACCCTGAAGAACACCTGATTGTATTTTGATGAATTCTGTAAAAGAGCCGTTCCATCTGACCGCTGCCATCATTTGAGCATAGTAGTTCTGTATGAGTTTGATAAATCGCGCGCCCACTTAAACCAACAAGCGCAAGCTTTCTCCATAATAGTAAATGTGGAACCGTATCAAACGCTTTTTTAAGATCAACAAAGAATGCGTAAAGTTTCCTTCTTTTGCGGTTTAATGTCATTTGGATTAGTGATGTAAGCGTGAAGATATGGTCTTGGCACGAGTAACCCCTTCTGAATCCTGCCTGGTTTTCCGCTATGAGTTTTCTATTCTCAATCCAATTACTTAGTCTATTTTTTAATATGGATGTAAAAAGTTTTGACAAGTTGCTTATAAGCGCAATGCCCCTATAATTTGATGGTGCATTCGGGTCACCATTTTTGAATATTGGTTGGATTATGGTTTTTGACCAGTGTGAAGGAACTTGGGATTTAGTTAATATTTTATTGAATAAGTTAGATAAAAGGATTAAACCATTCTCAGGTAGGGCTTTGATAGCTTCATTTGGTATACTGTCGTAACCTGCTGCTTTATTGTTTTTCAAGCTAGCGATTTCCCTCGCAATTTCCAAGGGTATTGATTAAAATGTTTTGTTGTGGTTGTTTCTGTTTTATCTATTCAACCCTTTTTTATAATCATAGAGTCGTGGCTTCAAATTTAGATTAGATGGATTATTTTCGCTCAAGTCGTAGAAAATAATCCAATCAACTTTATAAAAAAATATATATGAAATCAATACAAAATTGTCAAGAAAATCCTCAACGCTTCTTTTTATTTCAATTTTTTAAAATGCTTAAGTCCAAATTTTCATGAACACGTTAAAACATACTTTAAAAGATGTATCAATATGTTAGGGCGCAGATTACTTACATTAGGTACTTGAATTTCTTCGACTATTTCAAATTTATCAAATATATCCTTATGAAATCTTGAAAAACTCTTTTGCCTAAAAATGCTCCAAATATATCTGTAAAAAAAATATTCTACAGTTAGATTCATACACCATACATATTTTTTACATAAGATCTATTTATATAATATCCTGTGAGTGTGAATATAAATATTTATTTCAGAATCTATTTAAAAAAGAATATGCAAAATTGATAGTATGCAAAATTGCGAAATGGATTCTTCTTTAAATCGTGAATTTAATAATATTGAATCAATCCAGAAAGTTTTTTCTTCGGTATTTCAAAACAACGCGAGCTTAAACGTTCGCTCTTCAAGTGGATTCTTCAAGAAAATATACGCGTTTGATAAGTCAAATACTGGTTTTTCATCTATAAATATTCATTTTATGTTAGAGTCTATTGTGCAGTAGGTTTTATTCTGTGCTAGGTTGAAGATGGAAGACAAGAAGCATCATTTTCGTAAATAATGCTTCT